AGAAGTATGAATGATATGGTAACGGAAATGAGAAATGGTATGACATGAATAAAATGATAGCAGGGGCTATATTTAATAATGTCGAAAATGGAAAAATATTGTGACCTCATTCATTAATGTGTGTTCATGCATGGGGGGATACCCCTATTCCATCACGAGGGTACGGACGCGTACATTACCAGGCAGAAGAACGACCATTACATTTTACATAATGCTACCGTGACGGCTACTACTTCTAACGGGTGTCCTCATAGAGAGCTAATAAAGAATGCTCGCCCAACAAGAAAAGGGGCCCAATGGTGTGTAAACTGACTGGTGGGTCCACACTCGCACATATGGGCGTGTGTAGAGTATAAAGTACACATCCTAGCTGCCCGTTAGGAGAGTACCGTAGGAAAATAAACTGTTATGATAGGTCCCGTCAGTGCACTCGCATATTCTTGCATCATAACCTTGATAGGGGGTCGCTTACTAAGTATTCTTAAAATACTTGAGCCTCGTGTTACTACATTTTTCAGATAAAGGCAAGGTCCTCCTGTAAGGCTGACAGGGGCATCGCAACACCGAGACTGACACATGCATAGGATAGATTCGCATTTCAAATTTAATAGTATAAGTTAGTAGAGTTGTATTTGCATTTAATAATAGTATAGATTAATATGGGTTGAATTGTATTTGCATTTAACGAAATATAGGTTAGTATAGGTTGTGTTGTATTTATATTTAGTAGGTCATAGGTTAGTAGTATAGGACATTTAATTCAGTAATGTTTTTTCTTCTTTTCTTTGTATTTGTTATTACTAAAGTAATAAATGAGAGATGAAATTAATGTTGCATTTATGATAAGAGTTCATTAAAGTAATTTTGTATTAAATGTTAGGTTAAATGTATAGTAGTAGCCTTAGGTTAAATAGCAAAATTTAAAGTCGTTAAATACTCAAGTCACATGCTACTTTTATTTTTGAGGTAAAGTTAAACACCTCTGCACGGATGACGATGTTGCAGTGACGGTCATAGAATTGAAGCTAGTGTAGATTCATTCATGCTATTTGTAACCCTTAGGTTAGATTAGGGCATTGTTTTATTTTATTTAAACTTCATGTTATTTATTTTTCGTCATGTTGTTTTAAAGATTTTATTATGAACGTTCAAGTCCATAATATCATTTATGAAATATTTAAATGAAGGTTTCCACTCGCAATGGTCATGTCATGCATGTAGTAACGACCTTGCTTTTAATAGAAAAATAAGGTTGTTATAAAGTACTTCTAGGAATAATGTTTTAAGACTAAGATTAGTGTTGTGTTGTGAAGTTGAAGTGGATATTTAGATGGAATTCCACTCTCCTTAAACTCGTTAAAAAAAAACAAGGAATTATGCAAGTGTGCATGAAAAGTCAGGGTTAGACATTAGACTGATTAAGTTTTAAGGACTTAGAACCTCAATACCAAGGTCCTCGAAACAAAACTCATGCTAGGTTTAGAGTATAGTACCATAGCATCAACCATGGATATAATCAAAAGCCTACGAGTAGTCTATTTACTAAGTTTTATACTCACTCTAGTTTTTATATATTTTTCAAGTAATGAGTACATGTTGGTGGAGGATAGGAGCGACTCTTGGATAGGTGTCGTAGAGAACCAAAATAGAGTAAAGAGCCTCCACTGTTTTGAGTCATTATATTCCGATTTTGTTTAGTACTTTGTTCCCTTAATTTATTTTAAACTTCAACTCTATTTTGAATTTTGAATGTTATAAATATACCTATATATTTTGTACTTGTTTGGTGTGTTTTAAATTTTTCGAATATGTTGTTTTAAGAAAAGTAAAAGATTTTACGATATTTTTCTTTCCTCCAATCAAACCATGTCGCAGTCCGTTCAACCTATAATTTAGAAGTTTTAATTTAACGCTTATGTTTGTGATTTCTTCCCGTATACTTTTTTTTTCACTCACATAGTTTCTAAAAAAAACTCCCAATAGATCACCCAACATAAAATTACTCCAAGCAAAACACACTTTAACTTGAAGTTCGTATGATTGAACCATAAAAATAAGATATACCTTGTTGGTAAAGATAGTAACGTTCAATTATTTTAAATGTGGGCTCAGTTCATTTTCATTCATGTATCTCTTCTTTATTGCGTATTAATATTTTTTTAGGGGTGATTTTGTGGAAAGCTATAGAATTGTATATCAACAAAAAGATGAAGGAAAAAAAGAAAAAGAAATGATAGGTTCAACAAAAACGGATAAGGACGTCCCAACAGCAGCCAAGTCTTGAGCTACAAAATAAAGAGAATGGAGAATTGCAGCTTGCATTTCGTTTTCAGTAACCAACATTTTGCTTTCTCTTTTCTTTCCGTTGAAGCACAATATCTTCATTACTGTGCCCAAACCCTTTTGCTTTCTTCTTCCTTGTTTGTTGCACATTTTTGACAGATTGCCTTTTCAGTATCAATCAAATGATACAATATGGAGGCCTTTGAAGAGGAAGTGTGAAGAAGAGATCATGTTCATTGGGCATCAAAAATGATGCCTTTTACCTTGGTTTCTGCATGGAACAAGAGGCGTAGACGAAAAAAGTCATCACAATTAGAACACCAAACGGAGGACCCTTGTATGTTATATCAAATGTATCATCTTCAACTCTCCCTTTCTCGTCTCTTTTCTTCCCTCACCAACTTGTGTTCCTCAGGGATCTATAGACCAGCTGAGTTGTGGCAGCTTCAAGATCAAACCCTTCAAACACCCCCCAAAAGACACCATGCTTCCACAGTCTTCACCCTTAGGGAAATGGAAGAGGCCACCTGTTCCTTTAGCGACGCCAACTTGCTCGGTAAAGGTGGCTTTGGTCGCGTTTATCGAGCCACCTTGCGGTCGGGAGAGGTCTGTTTTGCTCCTTTAAACGTTGATCTATGCTCAAGTTGGCACGAAACTAACCTTGGTTTTGTGAAGGTGGTAGCGGTCAAGAAAATGGAGCTGCCACCATTTAAGGAAGCAGAAGGGGAGCGTGAGTTCCGAGTGGAAGTGGATATTCTGAGCAGATTGGACCATCCAAATCTTGTTTCGTTGATTGGGTATTGTGCGGATGGGAAGCATCGGTTTCTAGTTTATGAGTACATGCACAAAGGGAACCTTCAAGATCATTTAAATGGTCGTTGGTTTTTGTTTTAGTTTGAATCCAAATTCTTGGGTTTAGATAATAATGATTGAATTTTTGGCTAAGTGAATCTTTGATTTTGTGTTTTAGGGATCGGAGAATCAAAGATGGATTGGGGAGGGAGGCTGAAAGTGGCACTTGGGGCTGCCAAGGGATTGGCCTATCTCCATTCAAGCTCCGCTGCTGGGATGCCTATTGTCCATAGGGATTTCAAGTCCACAAATATTCTTCTTGACTCCAACTTGGATGCAAAGGTAAGCAAACCCCATTGTCATATTAGTTAAGAGTATCAACAATAACGATTAGATATAAAATCTTTGATATGGAGAGAGTGTGTCATTTCTTCTCGGTTATGTACCCATTTTCAAATATAAGGGAACGACGTACTATGTGAGATCCTACATTGGTTGGGAAGAAGAACGAAACACCCTTTGTAACGGTGTCGAAACCTCTCCTTAGCAGATGGTTTTAACTACCTTGAGAGGAAGTGGTGGACTTGGACGATTACAAATGGTATTAGAGCCAGATACCAGGTGATGTGTCAGCAAGGAGGCTGAGGGGTGGAGACGAGGCGGTGTGCTAGCAAAAACGCTGGTCCTCAAAAGGGGTGGATTAGGGGTCCCACATTGATTGGAGAAGAGAATGAGTGTCAATGAGAATGCTTGGTCTCAAAGGGGTAGATTGTGAGATCCCATATCGATTGGGGAGGAGAACAAAACACTGTTTATAAATGCGTGGAAACCTCTCCCCAGCAGACGTATTTCAAAAACCTTGAGGGGAAGTCCAAAGTCCACTCAACGAGGACAAAATATGTTACATACTAATTGTTGAGAATTGTTGGGAGTGAATCCCACGTTAGCTAATTAACGAGATGATCATGGGTATGAGACCTTTTGGAGAAACTGGACAATGAAAAAAAAAAATAGGGTCCAGTTGTGATTTTATGTAATCTTCTTGATCTTAATCTCGTATTATTTGCTTGATAGATATCAGACTTCGGACTTGCAAAGTTGATGCCAGAAGGACAAGAATCACATGTGACTGCAAGAGTCCTCGGCACGTTTGGATACTTCGACCCTGAGTATACTTCGGTATTGCCTTTAAACACAAATAACATCATTTCTCTTTTCACCTGGTTTCAAATTACAGATAAAATGTCTCAATCATTTCCAAAAAAAAATCGAAAGAAACAATTTTGAAGTTGTTGGTTTGATAATAGACAGGAAAACTGAGCGTGCAGAGTGATGTGTATGCCTTTGGAGTGGTTCTTCTTGAGCTCCTCACAGGCCGCCGAGCAGTGGACTTGAACCAGGGCCCCAATGATCAAAACCTTGTCGTACAGGTAAGGCATATATTGAATGATCGAAAAAAGTTACGTAAAGTGATAGATCCTGAGATGAGTCGAAGTTCATACACAATGGAATCCATAGCCATATTTGCAAACTTGGCTTCACGCTGCGTCCGGACAGAGAGCAGTGAAAGGCCAACAATGATAGAATGTGTAAGAGAGCTTCAAATGATTATCTACACAAAGTTGCAAGGCCGCAAGGGCTAGAGACGTTATATATGTATTAAGTATACTTCATCATTAATTGTTTTGTATCGGATGAACTGTTCTTATACCATGTGGGGATGATTTGTTATATCTTTAACTCACCCCTAATCATGAACTCGAATCAATTGAGGAAGGCGTGTACCAGTGTATGGGGTCACTCCCCTACGATTTATATGACGATGAGGGATAAGGGTCTGCAATCATACTCAATAGTAATCAAGAGTTGGTACACATAGGGTCGTGCCTTGATATCAGATTATGTGCCATTTCATGAAATCTTTATGGCACAGGACGAAATCTGTAGTTTAAAAACCCAAGTGCCAAAATTTCACCTCAAAATTAACCTATAATTAGAAACATAATTGTAATTACAACAGAACAACCCAACCAAAGTGGAAGTTCTTGCAAAATCATAATTCATAGTCTAGATAGTCTAGACGCTAGTATTTACTTCTCTTCAGTAACATATCAAACATCACTGCCCATTTCTACATGAGAAGAGTATCCACTAATCATTGGCTGTTGACACCCTCTTTGAGTATAGCATCATTATAAGGATGTCTGGAAGCAACTTTGGAAGCCCCAAAGTCTGTGGCGGATGAGGATGCTGAGGTTGAGCTTGTATTGATTCCATCATTCTGCAAAATGCTCTCAATTGCCTTAACCACATCACTCATTGTGGGACGCTCTGCAGCTGCCTCTTCAACACATTGCATGCCCAACTCTAAGAACCTTCCGAACCCAATAAGATTTGTTGTATTAACGATGATGGATTTATCCATTATATCCTTCAAACCATAATATTTTTCATCACTCTTATTCATCAACGTACGCACCTCACGAACTATGTGCTTTCCTTTCTCAATTGGCAGCTTAGCAGTTATCAATTCCAACATAACTATTCCAAAGCTGTATACATCACTTTTCTCAGTCAATTGTTCACTCATGTAATATTCAGGATCCAAATAACCCTGCACATGAATGTCATCAACATATCGTTACAACAGGACAATGGTATGAAAAACTCTAAACAAATGCAAGGGTTGTTATGATTTTCGCGATTCAAAATGTGAGATCCCACATCAGTTGGGGAGGAGAATGAAGCATTTTTTATAAGGGTGTCGAAACCTCTCCCTGGCCGACACGTTTTAAAAATCTTGAGGGGAAGCCCAAAAGGGAAAGCTCAAAAAGGACAATATCTGCTAGTGGTGGGCTTGGGCCGTTACAAATGGTAACAAAGCCAGACACCGAGCGATATGCCAGCAAAGAGGCTGAGCCCCCAAGGGGGCAGACATGAGGCGGTGTGCCAGCAAGGTTGCTGGACCCCGAAGGGGGTGGATTTGGGGGGTCCTACATCGATTGGAGAAAGGAACGAGTGCCAGCGAGAACACTAGGCCTTGAGGGGAAGCCTAAAAGGAAAAGCTCAAAGAAGACAATATCTGCTCGCATTGGGTTTGGGTTACTCTCCACAGCCTTGTTTTCCAATGTCCTTGGGAAGTGCATTTTCCTTTTATCAACTACAAACAATCCTTGTTTTTAATGGAAGAAACTAAATATTACAGTTTTCAAGAGGTTAATTACTTGCGTTTATGCTAAACCAACCTTGATATCTTAATTTTCTAAGTAAACTGTGATTTCCTCATTCCTATGCTACATTGTCAATCAAATATTATTTTTACTAGAAAACGCTTGATTGAAATGCTGACACAACAAAAATATGATGCATAAACTACTTACCATTGTACCTTTGACTTGAGTAGAAACATGTCCCTTTCCACTGTCTGAGACGAGCTTGGACAAGCCAAAATCTGCAACCTTTGCATTTAAACGTTCATCTAGTAAAATGTTGGTGGACTTAATATCTCTATGGATTATGGGAGGATTAGCAAGCTCATGTAAGTAAGTCAGGCCTCTGGCCGACCCAAGTGCGATACGAAGTCTTCTCTTCCAATCAAGATAAATACCCGATTTTCCTAAACACATGTTATTTGCAGTTAGATATTCAATGGGGCATTATAACACAAAAAAAGCACCAATATTTCCAACTTCAATTTCACACCACTTTTTTTTGACATAAATGAGATAGACAGCCCAAAAGAGTCGAGGAAACTTACCAGATAGGCTCTCTCTAAGTGTCCCATTAGGCATGAATTCATAAACAAGAATCTGTTCTCCTTGTTCGGAACAAAATCCCACTAGGCCTAGAAGATTCTTGTGATGAACTCGTGAAAGAAGCTCAATTTCTGTCTTGAACTCAAGGCCACCCTGCATTGATCCTTGTTGAGCTCTTTTGATTGCAACTACTTTTCCATCCTTCAGCGTTCCTCTGTATACCTGTACCAATGATGACGACCGTGCTAAAACAACTCTGTAGCAATTTGTACAAGAACAGGATAAAAAGGAAGGGACGTTCAGGAAAGCAATGACCAATCATTAGTACATTTACCATGCCAAATCCTCCGGATCCTATCACGTTACTCGTGGAGAAATTATTTGTGCATTGTTTAAGTTCATCATAAGAAAACCATCTGGCTCCCTTTAATTGTGGCGCATCTCCACTATCGTTTCCTTTTGGTACCCAGAAAGATGGATTAGATATAAGCTTAGAGCAATTTGGTTAGAATACAAGATCTCTCACCGACCAACAACCGTACAAACTCACGGCATGGTGATAAAAGCAATAATGATTAACATCATTTACCATGTGGCTGGGCCTTTTCTGCACGTCTCTTTTGTTGAATTGCATATGTTCCAACTCCAATGAGGCATAGAACAAGAAAGGCAGAGCCAACAGCTATTCCAATTACCATTCTGGTGTTCGTTGAATCTGATCCCCCATTGATGGCTTGAGGCATTCATGCTTTTAAAATCAGTTCATCATGGCTAATGCTAAGGCATAACTAAGGAATCTTTTTAGGTAAAATGATTATTAAGATTACCTGGAAAATGATAAGGAGATGCATTGAAAGTGTATGGCCCAAACATATCGGGAGGCTGGAAATTATGATGGTACAATTCAAACCCAATTTTCTGGATGTCTTCCCTACTGAAATACTTATCGTGGGATGGAAAAAGTGCAAGTTGTATCTGAAGATAATCATCAATATTAACGAAAGGGCTTTGAATAAAAGGCGTGCTGTTGAAAGTTTTAAAAAGGCTCGTTTCCAATGAGTGAAATAGAGTTATATTGGACAATTCCCGGAAAGAGGATCCTTTAAAGTATAAGGTCCCTTCATATGGATAGGCACATTCACAACTCTGAGGGTTCAGCTTCTCATCAGGAGAACATGACTTACTACCACAATTGACAAGGCTCGTAGAATATGGTTTTGTTTGTTGCTGTTGAAGGTGGCAATAGTTCGTATTTGAGAGGACACTAGTTTTACACACAGGATTTCCCGACAGCCTACAAATGATACTCATGAATGAATAAAGGTAAATGCAAAGAACAACATGGAATCTAACATTAAGAAAATGGTAAGCATTTTTCTCACATCAGTGTGTTAGTATATCCCGAAAGAGAGGTAACTGAGGAAATATCGTTATTTTGCAAATCAACTTGCTGCAACGATTGGCTGATGCTGTCACCCATAATTAATGTCCCACCAAATGCATTGTTCTTCAGTTTTCTGCGAAAATTTTAGATAACATTAACCGATAACACTAGTTTTACACACAGGATTTCCCGATAACTTGCTGCGAAAATTCCACCTTAATGTTTAAACAAAGCTTACATTTGCTGTATATGTGGTAAGATAAAGATTCCTTCTGGCAGAGTTCCTCGTATTGACCCATATTCAACAATACTGAAACCATGTTAGCATAGACATTTACCATTAAATGTCAAAAATTTCAAAAAACGGTGATGTAGAACTTACAGAGTGGTGAGAGATTGTAGAGTTGAGAACCATTCCGGAGCTACTGATGAGTTAAATGAGTTGTTACTAAGGTCCCTGCAAAGACAAACTTCACAAGTCAGTGAACTAATATAATGAAGATCAAAATGGAAATGTTAGCTCCTTGTCGTATGCTTACACGTGACTTAGTGAACTCATTTGAGTAAAGTTTGGTAGTGGACCTGTTAGCTTATTGTTGGCCAAATGCCTGAAAGAGGCACGCAGTAAAGGAGATCTAAAAGGAAGTTGATTAACTACCCAAAAAAGTAATTTTTATATGATAAGTACTCACAATGCATTGATATTAATTAGGTTGCTCAGAGTTGATGGGACATTGCCTGTTAAAGAATTTCGATCAAGTCGACTGTAACATATTTGAACAGCTTCAATAAGTCGTGGAGAGGAAATTATATAAGATAACAATATAGTACATTGAAGGCTAAGTAACTTATACTCACAGAACCTCAAGGGACTGAACAAGTCCTAATGTTGGTGGGATACTCCCAGAAAAATTATTCCCGTCAAATAATCTGAGGAAAGAATTGAGTAAGATTTGCAAGAGAATATGATTGAACAGAGCTGTTGAATTGATATCCACTTACATGTGTAATAATTCCATCTCAGAGCTAAAAAGTTCAGGTGGAATGGCTCCTGACAGCTTGTTTTTGCTGAAATGACTGCAATTCACGAAGTCAAGGTTTAATTTGATGTTGTTGGGGTGTAGATACATCTATTTCTACATATATTTCTTCGCACTTGATTGGGCTGCTTGGAGAAAATAATACTCACAAATGTTTAGCCCCAGAAAGTTGATCTAAACCCGGAGATTCGGAAGTGGAAACTGGAAGAGCACCAGTCAACTTATTATCTGCCAGGTCTAGCCAGTAGAGTTTGGAGAGTTTTCCTAGAGTAGCCGGTATGGTTCCAGAGAAATTGTTTGAATATAAAGACCTGAGATAGATAAAAGTTCTACTTGGAAAAGAGACAATATGAAGATCCTTTTTTTCTTATCAATAAATTATATCTCACAAGAAGGTTAGCTCAGTAAGATTGCCTAGTTCTTCCGGAATTGTACCACTAAATCCACACGCAGAAAGGCTCCTGAAAGTTGAAAATTGAAAATGAAAATAACTATCATAGCTCTAGAAAAACAAAAGCATAAAAGTTCAATGGCATCAAATTTGTTTGCTTATCAGCGCTCTTTACAAGGTATCCAATTTCAGCAAATTCCCAAGCGCCCGGGAGATTGAACCAATGAGGCCTCGATTCGCTGAAAGGTCCCTGCAATTACACAACATTTAGAAACTCAATGACCTCAATCAACAGTTTGGTACTGCTTGCTAAAATAGAAAACAGAAAAGTTTCTTGCAAGTATGGTCAGAATTCATATTATTTCATATTGCTCCTGTTAACTCAACCACTAAGAGATTGATGCGACTCACAATGATTTAAGTTCAGTAAGGCCTCCAATGTCACCACCAAGTTTACCTTTTAGGCCCATACTAGATAATCTCCTAAAGAGGTTAGCACACATACTGAGTGAATGGGTTTAACCAAAATATTAAAGAGAAACAAACAGAACCGAAACCTTGTTCAAGGATTGATAAGGAGTAAAACTAAAGGGAAGAGAAATGTTATAAATCATAAGGAATTGATATTTACAATGCAACGACTCTTGAATTGTTGCAAAGAACTCCTTCCCAGGGGGCTCCACAGGGATCATTTGATGCACCCCAGCTTGGTGGTGTATTTTGCCAATCATCTTTCAGAGCTCGAAGAACTGTAGCTGCACCAACAACATGAGCATGAAGCTTAGAAGGCTCCCATCCACCCTCTTCACATTGTCAAAGTTAACTGGTACTCAAAATCTGCTTCACTGTCACACTCAGTAGTTTCTAAACGATCATTCTAACAAATTGTATAGGAACTAAAAAACTCTAGAGTCAAATACGCTGCTCTTAAATCGTCAATCAATTTCAAAACATCCTTCCAAGACCATAAATGAATGGTTACAGACAACTTGGAAAATTGTAGGTGTAAGAAATAGAAATTAACACTAATTGGAAGAAAATAATATTCAAATACATGAGCTCTTGCACATAAACAATATAAAATCACTCATCAATCTTTATATCAATACTTCAACGGTTCTTAATGAACCTCATCATGTGGTGAGTTAATTGAAAGTAAGGCAAGTCGGGAAGAAAATTTGATAGCGTGGGCGAATAGAAGACATTTTAAGCGCCCCTTTTTTGTTCATCCATCAGGAAGAAATGATTTGATTGGAGAAGTAAAGCAAACGAAATCTTGGCTTTGTCTTCTTTGCAATGGAAGGCTTCATACTGAAAAATGGCAGATTAAGAAAATAAAGAAACAAGGTTAAGTAGAAGTTACCATCGCGGGAATCAGTATAGGAAGCGGCCAAATGGAAGAAAGCCAAAAATAGCAGCATCTGCGCGATTGAAACCGCCCAAATCGCCCCCATATTTTCGCTCCCACCACGCACACAACTTGGTCGCTTCCTTCTTCAATGAACCAGGGATTGGAACACAAAGCGGCCTCTGCCCATTTCCCTTTCTCATTTTTGGTTGCATCACTCTTGAATGCTGGTAGGTGGATGTAATAATCAGTTTCGCTTATTTTTCTTATCAATTCAATGCCGTTTATTAGATGCTCGCTGATATTTTGTTCAAGCAATTTAATGCTCACAGTTGAATTTTAAGTTTTAAGATATAATGTAAAGTAGTTGAGATATGATTCAAATATTCAAACTAACGAGGTTTTGATGAGATTGCTAGTAGATTTGAATTTATCTAGATTTGCATGATTTACTATTTCTGGTCACGTGTATAAGCTATCAATACTGGAATTGTGTAGCCCTCTAACCATTGAGTCATAAAACAATAATGAAGTACTGTAGTTTTCATCTATTTTGTCTATTCTTATCTCTCTGTCCTTTTCCAACAATTTTGGTATCAGAGTCAAGTTCTTCGACAGTGATTATTTTCTCTCACAAAGTGAATGATTATTTTCTTTCCCAACACAAAAATGTCAGTAGCTGGTTTTTCTTTCTCTGCACCGTTGTTACCAATCTTTAATGGTGAGAAATATGAGTGGTGGAGCATCAAGATGAAGATCTTGCTCAGATCGCAGGAGCTATGGGACTTGGTGGAGCATGGGTTTGTTGATGTATTAGAACTCACAATAGAAGAAAAGGAGAGACTAAGAGAAACCAAGAAAAACGATGCCAAGGCTCTATTCACTGTTCAGCGAGCAGTTCATGAGACTGAATTACAGCAGCAACCACATCAAAGCAGGCATGGTCAATCCTACAGAAGGCATGGTCAATCCTACAGAAGGAATGGTCAATCCTACCGAAGGAATGGTCAATCCTACCGAAGGAATTTCTAGGAGATTCAAAGGTCATAACAGTGAAATTGCAATCTCTAAGACGTGATTTTGAAACTCTACTCATGATAGGAAGGCATGGTCAATCCTACAGAAGGAATGGTCAATCCTACCGAAGGAATTTCTAGGAGATTCAAAGGTCATAACAGTGAAATTGCAATCTCTAAGACGTGATTTTGAAACTCTACTCATGACGAATGGCGAATCAATTGCTGATTTTTTTGTCAAGAGCAATGGCAATAGTCAGTCAGATGCGTACCTATGGAGAGAAATCTCAGACGAAACAATTGTTGCAAAGGTGTTGAGAAGCTTGACTCCAAAGTTTGACCATGTGGTGGCTGCCATAGAAGAAGCTAAGGATCTATTCATACTCTCCGTTGATGAATTGATAGGCTCGCTTCAGGCTCATGGGGCAAGAATCAATAGAGCATTAGAAAGGAACGAAGAAAAGGCACTACAAGTGAAGGAGACAACCAACAACGAAAACAACGAAAGAGAAAATATTCATTTAGCAGGTAGAAGTCGTGGAAGAGGAGGATTTCGCAGCTTCCATGGTGGTCGTGATAACAGGGGTAGATGAAGAAATGATGGACAGAGACAATTCAATGAACAAAGGAATGTCATACAATGTTACCATTGCAGAAGGTATGGGCACACAAAATCTGATTGTTGGTATAAAAATCAACGAATGAATTTTGCAGCAGAGAATAAAGAAGAAGAAGAAAAGTTGTTTATGGCATGCATGGATACTAATCTGAAAAAAGGTGATTATGGTTTGTTGATAGCGGATGCTCGAACCATATGACAGGCACCAAATCCTCATTCAAAAAATTAAGGTGCAACTTGGAAATACAAAAGTGATGCAAGTTGAAGGAAAAGGTACAGTGAAAGTCGAAACCAGTTATGGTAAGATAAAACAATTAGATAATGTTCAATTTGTACATGATTTAGGGTACAATTTATTGAGTGTGGAACAATTGATGACTAGAGGACATTCCGTTCAATTTGATGACAACACATGTGTCACTACACATAAGAAATCAGGCCATAAAGTTCAAATTTCCATGACTTCAAATAAGATGTTTCCACCGGATGTTTCTAATATGGAGGATTTTGCTCTTACTACTAGCACGAAAGATGACTCAACATTATGGCATCTCAGATATGGACATCTTCATATGAACGGCCTGAAAATACTTTGGGATAAAGGTATGGTTTTCGGATTACCAAGAATTGATTCAACTAATTTATGTGAAGGATGCATTTATGGCAAGCAGACTAGGAAATCCTTTCCGGTTGGAAAAGCTTAGAGCTTCACATTATCTAGAACTAATTCATGCTGATTTATGTGGGCCAATGCAAACGAAGTCCTTGGGTGGGAGTATATACTTTTTACTATTCAACTAATTCATGCTGATTTATGTGGGCCAATGCAAACGAAGTCCTTGGGTGGGAGTATATACTTTTTACTATTCATTGATGACTATAGTCGCATGAGCTGGGCTTACTTCCTACAACATAAGTCAGAAACTTTTCAGAAGTTCCAGATTTTTAAAGCTATGGTAGAGAACCAAAGTGGCTGTCACATTAAAGTTCTTCGCACAGACAGAGGTAGCGAGTTCATATCTAAAGAGTTCAATCTGTTTTGTGAAGAAGAGGGCATCCAAAGGGAATTAACAGCTCCCTACACTCCAGAACAAAATGGAATCGCTGAACGAAAAAATCGAACTATTGTGGAGATGGCAAGAAGTATGTTACAAGCAAGGAGACTTCCAAACCAATTTTGGGCAGAAGCCGTAGCAACATCTGTTTATCTATTAAACATCTCACCAACAAAGGCGGTTATGAATCGAACTCCTTATGAAGCATGGCATGGAAGAAAACCATCTGTAAGTCATTTACGAATCTTTGATTGTGTTGCTTATGCTTTGAAACATCCTCAAATTCGTCAAAAGCTTGATGAAAAATCTGAAAAATGCATTTTCATTGGCTATTGTACTCAATCAAAGGCATATGAATTATACAACCCCATCAATGAAAAGATTTTAGTAAGAAGGAATTTAATATTTAATGAAAACGTGAGTTGAGATTGAAGTGAAGAACAGGAGCAACAAAAAATTACAGTTGAAGTTTCCCCAAATGAAGAGACAAGGGTTAACTCCAGTGCATCTCCCAGTGCATCCACTACAACACAAAGTGTGTCCAATTCAACATCTTCAGCATCATTGAACAACAATTCTTCTCTTGAAGAACTTTCAGATGAGACACCTCCAAGGAAGTATAAATCTTTAGCTGACATATATGCATCATGTCAATTTACTCTTACTATTTCAGACCCTATGAATTATGAAGAAGCAACTGAAAAAGAAGACGGGAAGAAAGCCATGGCAGTAGAGATGCAATTCATTAAGAAAGATGGAACATGGAATATGGTTGACCTACCAAATGAAAAGTTTTATGCATATTTACAATAAGAGGTTTATGTAACACAGCCAGAGGGATTCATAAAGGAAGACAAAGAAACAAAGGTATACAAGCTGAGACAAACATTGTACGGGTTAAAGCAGACATACTTACTAAGGCCTTGTCAAAAGAAAAGCTTTGTCCTTGACATCTGCAACTTTGAATCAAGGGGGAGTATTAAGATATGATTCAAAGTATTCAAAATGAAGATATGATTTAAAGTAGTTGAGATATGGTTCAAATATTCAAACTCCCAAGATTTTAGGAGATTTTAGGAGATTGTTAGTAGATTTGAATTTATCTAGATTTCCATGATTTACTATTTCTGGTTCAGTGTATAAGCTATAAATACTAGAATTGTGTAACTCTCTAAGCATTAAGTCAGAAAACAATAATAAAGCACTGCAGCTTTGATCTATTTTGTCTATTCCTATCTCTTTCACTATCCTTTTTTCCAACAATTTTCGCTCCCAATACGCATCAGATACTAACATTTTCATGTGCTACCCCTAAGATCAGCGACGGTAATGGCAAGATAAAAACACTCCCAGCGCTCTAACAACTAAGAGTGGTATTGTCACGACCCGATTTTTTAGGCTTCGAAGAATCGAAATCGTGACTAAAAGGACGAAATCGAAAACAAACAAAAAGAAAATAACAGAAAAGAAAAGCAAAGTAAAAGGATAAAAATATCATTCAATTAAAACAAAAGAAAAAGAAGATTTGTTTCGAAAATGTTACAAAGGAAATTGCAAATGTAAAAATAAAATACAAAAGACTCTAAATATGAAAACGGACAAAGGACTCTAAAAGACCGATAAGGGACTGACGCTCCGGAACGACACCCCTCTGTGACTGCACAGCTCTCGAACACCTCCCCGTATCGACTCGTACCTGAAAAAAAAGGGGAGAAAGGGGTGAGTATAAAAATATACTCAGTAAGCAGCCTACTTGTAGGCTCTTTTCGCATCCTTATCTTGGTAGGTAACCACGGTCTTTCTCGGGTTTCTAAGGAGAGTGATCTAAACTACAACTCTCTTTTCTGTATCATAAAAGGCTTGCCCATCTTATGCAGTGAAATGATCAGTGTCCTGAGGTGAGGCGCGACCTCATAAGCAAATCTGAGGGGATCGTATGGCTGGATCTGAATACGTGACTCTATCTCTGAACATCATCCGTGGAGGTTAACTGACGACCCTCACACAGGACCATACATCCACAAAACGAGGTGCGACCCCCTGTGTGCCGGTCAGCTACTGAGTCATCCTAAGTGGCTCCACGTCCCCGCTCAGGGACGGGTTTCTACGGCCCAGAAGTCCTGTTCAGAAGACCCCTTAGCTATCACCACTAGGTCTGGGCACCTGTCACACTTCCCTATCCGGATCTGCAAAGCTCAACGATCACCGTACCGGAGCTCTGTCTCGACGGTATGGTATCGGAGGAGAGAGGGAAGTGGAGGTTCTGATGACACTATCTACACTGCTCAACTCTAGTGGGCTACCTACAGTTACCGTGGTGACCTATTATTCTTTCTAGGGTGGAACTTGATGGCTTAGACTTAGATTCGTATTTCTCTAGGATTCTCGTGCCTGGTGTCATAAACCTATTGGGTTTGGAATTCTGGGTTCTGGTTTCACCGGTAATCATTTCGCAGGTCTAATTGCACGGTATTCTAGAGGTCCCCCAATCTAGGGTCTCGTCTAGCTTATTTAGCCATAAGCATCCTAATCTAAGCTCATAATTTCTTCCTATTCATCAAGAAAGATAATACAAGCAATCATCATACAATAGAGTTTACACGCAGCAGTTCATGCAAAATTATCAAGCATGCTCAACGGGAAGATAACGTCCATCTTTTACCCGGAGCACAGATTTCACAAGTTTCCCAACCTCCTCATGCATACATACATTATCAGAGTCTCAACCAAAACAAATTTAATACACATTTTGTATCTAGCTTTTCATAATCATCTTATATTCGCAGTTTCTATAATAACACGCTAAGTCCGGCTAGCTAATTTCATAGGTGGTAGCATGCATGCTTGTTCCTAGTGGTTCCTACAAGTACTGCTCGTGGAAATCCAAATGGCTACTTACATCCTTCCCAAGCTCGAATTATTTGCCGGAAAAGGTTCCAAAAATTCTTGAATTTCCTTGATAGGTCCTAATTCACATAAAAATAGGATCAGAGTTGAAATCAGGGCGAAAAAACAAGCAAACGGAGGTCGAACGGAGGGAAAACAGTCACTCACGCGCCTACACGCACGACTGACGCGCTCTGGAGGGTGTACTACGTGCGCGTACCCATGCGCTTCTTTCTGTGCAGTCGCGGGTCGAGACGGGTCGGTTCGGACAGGTCGGAGCGGTTCGGTTCGCGTGCGGAGCGCCGGTTCGGACTCGGGCCGACCCGGTTGCGCACGCCTGATGCGTTTCTCCAGCCCGCAGTCGCCACGTGTTGGTCGTCGGTCCTACCACGCTCCTCCGTGCGGCGGTTGACGCGTGGCGGCGATGCCTTCTCTCTCCTGCATTTTTCCAAATTTTCCAAAAACCGTGAGTTTTGCGTTTTCGATCCATTTTCTTCCGATTTTCTTATCTTTCAATCCGTAATCCATATCAACAAAGTTTCTTCACAAAAGTTGTAGATCTCATATTCTACTTCTACAATATATTTTTCCTTTATTTTTTTTCTTGAACACAGGACGAGTTAAGGCCGTCCAAAGATACGGAACAACTCACATTTTTTGTTTTCGATCGGTTTACCCAAGTCCAACTAAACTCCAATTTTCGTCCAGGAACTTCAGGAAACCTATGTGAATCTTAATTTAGTCACATACCTCAAAAACTCCATATCTAATGCTCAAGAAACTCCTCAGATCTAGATAAAATCGAAACAAGAAGTTCGGAACCTTACTTTATCCGTTCTCGAATTTTCTTGCCGGAATGAGTGGATTCCACCACCCGAACTCCTTTTCTAGCACTGAGAGAAGTATTGCTTTGAAGTTTCTTGCCTTGGATTCGATCTCCAATGGCGATTTGTCATCTCTGTTCTTCCTCTCTCCCAAACCCTAACTTCTTCTCCTTTCTCCATTCTCTCTCTCTTTTTCTTTTCTTTTCTCTTTCTCCTTCTTCTTGGAGCCCAAACAACCAGACCCCTTGGGTAAGAGTAGGGGCAAAATGACCATTTTGTCCCTATGTTGTTATTTTTATTTTATTTATTTATTCATCTAAAAATTCGGGTATTACAGGTATTAAGAGGCTTCCAGTGTCTTGTTAAAGGCGTATGCCCATGGTTGCATGCCAAAACTCTTGACTTGTATCACTTTATTGTTTTCCTTTACTGCTTTCATGATGTACGTTTTCTTTATTGTATTTTCTAGATGTATGATCGTTAGGTAGAATCATGTCCACACGGGTAGACATGAAATGCCCCAAAAGGTACTATATGGCAATGCGACCCATTGACAACTCCTCCCACCTAGATTTTGTATGATCGTTCGGTAAGATCACGTCTAGGCCTGTCATACATGAATCGCCTCAAAATGTACTATAAGGCAATGCGACTAGTTGTCAAACTCTCCCTACCCGAAAAGTTACATGTTATTTAAGTCTTTTTTTTTTTTTTTTTTTTTTGCCTTTTGCTTGTAGTCATAAAACGTCACTTTAAATCTTTCTTTCTCAATCTTGCTTTCAAACTCTCTTTCAAAATATCTCTGCCTCCGTTTTCTAAAACCTTATTCTCAAAACGGGACCAGAGACTTGAGCATGTATTGCTCGTCCGTAGTCGACGCGATTCTAAGTTGGCTTGGCTCACTCAGTGTTGAGAGTGAGTGTTGCACAATTTTCAAATTCGCTATCAAGAAAAGTGTGATTGTGACCGTTGATATTAGAGTTGAGTTGGCTCCAAAGTGACTCGATAGACATGGCTATGACCAAATAGTTGTAGAAGTTTCATGTCAACCGACTAATCAACATAGAAGAACAGATGCAATACTTGCGGGAAGTCCCCGGCAGTATTTGGTACTGAGACAAGCGGGGTAAAAGAACTCGCCGACAAGACCCTTGCCGTAGATACAGTAGTGGGTTGGTTAGATGAATTGCCCATTCAAGAATTGATGTTTCGAATGGACAACATAGAAGCAAAAACCACAAAAACTAGTGGTTTCGAGCGGGGAGACGACTTGACGGCTCTGCTGGCTTGATTGAGGAGTGAGTCGATGCTTTAGACAGCTCCCAAAAAGCAATTGTATATATGGCACTGGGCGATCTGAAGATGTGAAGGATACCCTCGACATGGTCAGGTCAGAAATGGTGGATATAAGTGCTAGAGTGAACCTTGTCTAAGGGCAATGGAAAATCAAAACCCTACAAGGGAACAACTAAGCCCAACAAGGTCAAGGTTCTAGAACCCAAGCCCTTCTTTGAGGCTCAAGACGCCAAGGCCCTAGAGAATTTCATCTTTGATCTTGAGCAGTACTGTATTGCGATGGACACTGAGACAAAAGAAGCAAAGGTCATCTCGGCCACCATGCATCTAGCTGAAGATGCAAAATTATGGTGGTAGTCGAAGTACATAGATATCCAAGAGGGTGGATGCACAATAGATACTTGGGAAAAACTAAAACAGGAACTTCAATCCCAATTTTTCCCACATGATCTCAATTTTTCCCACTTGAAGTTCCTTCTACTCTACAAAAGGAGGTAGGGGATTCAAAATAGTCGATCGAAAGAGGCCTCATGTACGTAGAAGCATGGGTTAACCACAAATTAGCCGAGTACAATGGTCGATTCAAGAGCCACCCATAACTTTATGACTGAGACAAAGGCAAATAGGCTGAACATAAATTGGCATCGAGACTCGAGAAAGATGAAGGCCAACAACTCTATAGCCCTACCTATCCTTGGAATAGCAAGGATGACCACCTCAAATTGGGGATGTGGAGTGGGCAAGTAAACTTTGTGATCGTCAAGATGGACGATTTTGATGTTTATACTTGGAATGGAATTCTTATTGGAACATAAAGTCATCCTCATGCCCTTGGCCAAATGCTTGGTTATAACAAGATCTGCCCCCACCGTTGTCCAGGTGAGTATCAAGAAGTCTATTGGGATAAGGTTGATATCGGTGCTCCAATTGAATCGAGGGCTTGCACCCAACAAACCCACGTTCATGGCCATCCCTTTGGTCGAAGATGAGGGATCAACAAACTTCGTCCCCATAGAAATTCAGTAGGTATTAGATGAGTATCGTGGGGTAATGCTAGAGAGTCCCCGAAGAACATTACCTCCTCGTTGGGTATAGACCACAAGATTGAGTTGATGCGACCATGGACAACATGTCCTAGACAAGCATGACTGGGACACTCGACATATAGCTATAGACAACACACCTTGGACAAGCATGATTGAGACATCCCTCCTCAATCAATTGGTTGACATCTCTATCAATCGACTCTTCACAAACTCAGTGATGTAGGTTGAGGCTGACTTCAGGTCTCTCGACGCACTTCTAGCTGATCTTAGCTTTGAGGAGTCTCTTCCAATCTGCAAGGAACTGTTGAAAACCACTTCTTGGTTTGTTGACTCTTGGCATCTTCTCTGTCGGAGCTTCTCCTACTTTCTTTGCTTGGAAATTCTTTTTCTTTTCATGAGGTCATGTTGCCTCTTTGTATTTGACGTCTTCTTGATTGGGAGAGTAACGTTTCATGTTACTGACAAGGACAACAGGTGATATGAACCAAGAGACATCAATCATACAATATACTTCAATGAAGATGTGAAGAAAATGTTGTCAAAATTATCAAAAGAGGTTGCAATTCATGTCACATTGAAGAGGAATGAAGTTTGATGGTTATAAATTTTGGGTGGGTTACAATTTAGAGTTATTGTATTTCAATATTGTATTTTAAGACTTTTAATTTACTTTAGGTTACAATTACATAATGGTTAATTATGGCCATTAAGTATGAATGTTACCACTCTTGGAATGTCTTTAGTAGTTTCATTTTGAGGCTATATAAAGCCATGTATGTTGTATTTGTAAACAGACTTGGAAAATATAGTAAAAGAAGCATTTGTGCTTTTCTTTAGCCAATGACTAAGTTTCTTTGCAATTCTATGTAATTTAGGTTGCATGTAGAATCATTCAAGTAGTATTGATCAAACCTCTTGTGGAGTGATTCGAATCACGAGTTTAGAAATGAGTTTTCTTTACTCTTGATCTTGATCATCAAGGTAATCCGTTCCATACTTTCCCTTGGGTTGATTTCCATATCAACAGGGCTAAGTTCGCGCATCCATTGGAGCAATTGGATCCTATATGATGCCTTTCCAACCTTGTTGATAACTTCGACTTGTCGATAGTGTTTTCGCACCATCTTTGACTCTTATTGTTTTGATCTCAGAGTTGATCTGATCTCAACTTGATCAAAAACCTCCCTCTGTCTTGAAACTGTTGTGGTCGACGCTTCTGGCCGGCCCTTCTCTTCATCCGTCTGGATGATACTTCTGTGTGAACATGTGTTGATCATAGGTTTGTCTCTGTGTCCCTACTTCGATGGAGGTGTTGGCTTGGTGTTTTTCTCCAACCCTTTGGTGATCACTAACAACATGTTTTGTGGGTCTAATGGACCCGACTATTATTAAGTCATTTAGCTGCTTGTAGAATTCAGCTAGCTCGGGTTGAGCCATATGTCATTCCTTTGTGGCAGGCGATCTTGCCCCTGACGTAACATCAATCTCATTCCTGTCCAGGTGGAGATAAATACTTTGTCTGACTTCCTTGTCTCACGTCGTGGTGTTTCTGAATTGACTGTGAGGCTTGTGTTGGGGTTGACTCGCTTGGACTTCCCTCTTCAAATACGGTAATGGCAGCAAGCATAGGTTAATCATGGCTTAGATCCTTTCTCAACTGTAGTGCTGACATCATTTTCACCCCTCTTGGATGACGTGTGTTTGTCTTGATAATTGTCAGGTTGAACCTCGTTATTACTAAGATTTTTGCTAGGGGCATGGGAATGACTTTGTGTTCTAGTAGAAAATCCATCCCTAACACAATGTTGAAATCGTCCATCTTAATTGTCGTAAAGTTAGTTTGTCCAGTCCAAGTCCACAGGTTGATGTGAGTTCTCTTCACAACTCCTAAGCGGGTAAATATGTCAAATTGATGACCCTCGTCTTTCTTGCGTCTCGATCCCAAAAGATATTCAAGAATTTTACTTCGGTCTCTATCATGAAGTTGTGGATGGCTCCAAAGTCGACAATTGTGTTTTTGACCGCTCTATGATTAACCCAGACTTCAACATACATAGACTGTGTTCCACTGGCTCTTCTGTTTCTTCCACTCTCTTTTGGAGAGCAGACAAGTACTTTAGTGCCCCCACATGGAGGTGTCCAAAATTCTTAGCTAATGGTATTATATTTCTAATAGTTCATACTCAACTTCTGAATTCACTGAGTTTTTTTTAGAAGGCACATAGTGCCGCCTTATATGAGCATTTAGATACATGATAAGCCCCCTTGCATATGAAGCAAGACAGAGGTTCATGGTTTTGATTTTGACTATTCTGGCTATGAGGTCTCTATCATGGAATCCTACCCTTCTATTGGGAGGATTTGTATTCCTCCTCTTTGCCTTCGAGTCTATTATTTCTGAAAATATTTGCTAAAACCACCATAGCTAAATGGTGGTGAAGTTTCTCTATTTATAATCATTTACAAAATAGAGAACTATGGTAAATTACAAATGATATAGAAAGAACAATAAATAGATACAAGATATTTGACTACAATAAGAGGACAAATATGATATCTATGCTAAGCCATAATGGAGGACAAATATCTAGATATTTTCCTATAATAAACGGTCAAATATGATGCATATGGTAAACCATAATTCAAGGCTAAATATCCTTAACACCCCCTCCCTCGCAAGCTGAGCGTCAGATTTGACCGGACATGAAACTTGGATCTGAAAAATTCAAAGCGAGGTCGTGAAGATGTTAGTAACTTGGAGATTGGAAGGTACATACTATGTGTGAAGTTTGCCATCGATGACAAGTTCCTGAAGAAAATGATAATCTAGTTCAACATGTTTGGTCTGCTTGTGAGAAAAGATTAGAGCTAAAAGAAATAGTAATCTTATTGTTACATAAGAGTAAGGGTTGTTGTGAAATAGGGACCTTGAGGTCATGCAAAAGATGCGTAATCCAAAGAAGTTCAGTAGCAGTCGAGGCAAGAGCACGATGCTCAAATTCACAATTGGAGAGTGAGGTAGTAGGTTGCTTTTTGGCACTTTAAGAAACGAGATTGTTACCAAGATAAATAGAATAGCCGGATGTAGAACGACGAGTATCGGGACAACCAGCCCAGTCAGCATCCAAATAAGCCACTAGCGCACTAGAAATAGAGGATGGATGAAAGGTAAGACCAAAGTGGAGTGTTCCATTGACATACCGAAGAATACGTTTCACAGCAAGAAAGTGATCTGCAGTAGGGATATGCAAAAATTGACTGACAAAATTGACAGCATGGGTAATATCTAAATGTGTAATGGTCATGTACTGAAGGACGCCAACAAGAGATCTGATATGAACCAAGAGACATCAATCATACAATATGCTTCAATGAAGATGTGGAGAAAAGGTTATCAAAATAATCAAAAGATGTTTCAATTCATGCTACATTGAAGAAGAATAAAGTTTGATTGTTGTAAATTTTGGGTGGGTTATAATTTAGAGTTATTGTGTTTTAAGACTTTTTATTTAATTTCGGTTACATTTACATAATGGCTAATTATGGCCATAAAGTGTGAATGTTACAACTTTTGGAATGCCTTTAATAGTTTCATTTTGAGGCTATATAAAGCCATCTATGTTGTATTTGTAATCAGACTTAGAAGATATATCAAAAGAAGCATTTGTGCTTTTCTTTAGCCAATGGCTAAGTTTCTTTGCAACTCTATGTAGTTTAGGTTGCATGTAGAATCATTCAAGCTCGACATGATCAATCTTGCTTGTGGAGTGATTCGAATCTCAATCAAGTGTCCTTGTCTTGAGATATTTGATCAACAAGAATCATTAAAGCTAGACATGATCGATCTTGCTTCTGGAGTGATTCGAATCTCAAACAAAGTGTTCTTTGCTTGAGATATTCGATCAACAAGGTAATCCGAATCTTATTCCCCTTGTATTGATTCCTTATCTTATCAAGATCAATACAAAGTAGGATCAAAGAAAGGAGAACCATCAGCAGTCTAGTGTTGAGAAACAACCATGGGGTGTGGACTAGTTTGTTATCGATCAATTGAGCACGAGAAGAAATCTCGAGCATATTTTAACTGACTAATAAAGAGACCATCAAGAGTGAGTGAAGCTTCAAGACCAAGAAAGTAATTGAGAGAATCCAAACCCTTGGTAGCAAATTCAGAATGAAGCTTGCGAGGAAAGCTGTTGTTGCTGGAAACAATAATGTCATCAACATAAAGAAGCAGATAGATAAGGTTAGATTGCTAATGAAAGACAAAAAGAGACGTGTCAGCGCCACTGCAAGAAAAATCAAGTGTGAGAAGAAGTGAGCTAAAATGTTGAAACTAGGCATGAGGAGCTTGCTTTAAGCCATAGTGGAATTTCTTTAAGAGACAAACGTGAATGGGAAATCGAGAATCAATATACCCTGGAGGTTGTTCCATATGAACATGTTCAATAAGAGTGTCATTGAGGAAAACATTTTTGATATCAAGTTGCCAAAGAGGCCATTTATTTGTGACCGTATTAGAAAGCACAACACGGACAGTGGTAGCTTTGACAACTGGACTGAAAGTGTCAGTGTTGTTGAAACCAGGAACCTAAGTATAATCTTTGGCAATAAGACGAGCCTTGAAACGCTTGATGGATCCTCAGGTAAATATTTAATGCAAAACACCCATTTAGAGACAACGATGTTGGTGTTGGCAGGGCGAGGAACCAAAGTTCAAGTGTCATTATGTTGTAAAACTCGAATTTCTTCATCCATGACAGTAACCCAAGTAGGATTCTTAGCCACAGATTTGAATCTTTTTGGCTCAGTGGATGCAAGAAGAGTAGAAAGAAGTCCAGATGAGCCCAAAATACCAAGATTTGTTGGATGACGAGTCTTGAAGATACCAGCCTTGACTCGTGTGATCATAGGATAAGAGATCAAAGAAGAAGAGGAATCAGCAGTAGGTTCAATAGAGGTTGAATCCAAAGTTGGAGGGTGGAAAAGAGGAACCTGTAAGAGAAGCATCAACCTGCACAGACTCATCCACAAGATCAAAACAAATATCATACGGGAATGAACTGATAGAGGAATGTGCGGTGAAGAAGTTGTATGGAGATGAATCAATATGGTAAAGATGCAGTTCCAAGAAATTTGAAATATGAAGAGAGGAAAGAGGTTAGGCCTGGGAGCTAGGGATAGCAAGAAAGTGAGTTTCATCAAATTGAGCATGGCGGGTGATGTATAACTTAGTGGTGGTGGGATCAAGACAATGAAACCCTTTATGAGCAAGACTATAACCCAAAAAAATGCAAGGAATGCTGCAGGGAGAAAGCTTGTTGGGCATATAATCACGCAAGCAAGGATAAACACAACAACCAAAGGGATCAAAATTGTCATAATGCGAGAGTAGCCGTAGAGGAGTTCAAAGGGTGACTTGTGGAGTAGGCAACCGGTTGATAATATAAGCTGCAGTGCTGAAGGTGTCAACCCAAAAACGAGGAGAAAGTTGGTAGTGAGAGAGAAGGGTCAAACTAATCTTAGTCACATGACGATGTTTTCTCTCAGCCTGACCATTTTGAATAGGTGTATATGGACAAGAGAGTTGAATGACCTCAAATATTATCGTATATATATATATATACCCTAAATATTAATCTCAAAATATTGTTCTAATTATTATATAGATTTTTAGGTAAAATTTTAAAAAAATTTGATTATATAGAGTTTAAAATATAAAGGTGAGATTTGAGAATGATGAGTTTTTCTTTTTTTAGATATTTTTATTTAGCTTAATGTTAGACCATTCATGGATCGTTCTTTTTTGTTTTTTATAGCAACTTTACATAAGTCATACTTTCAAAATACAATATTAAATATTAAAAAGTAGCATTTTTTATGTAAAATATTATGGATTTATTTGCCATTTGTGTAACTTCACCAAAAGAATAAAAAAGAAGTAAAAAAATTTGCAAGACTTATGCTTTTCTACCTAAAAATATGATTAAGAATTTGAACTTTTCTAGGTATTTCAATTGAAAAACACATTTTCGATAAAAAAAAAAATGTTGGTCTTTGCATCGGTAGAACTTTGTGAGAGAAGACGTCGTATGCCTAGACAAGAATCGACACATTTGTTAGCAACATGCTGGAAGCATTGTCGTATGTAGCTTTTGCCAATGTCTTATACCTTGTTTCGACGAAGGTCTCTATTGACGCATCTATGAGAACGCTTCGATAGAAAGTGACCTCATATGTTATCATGATTTTTACTTATTAATATAATGATTTTTACTTAATAATAATAAAAAAAAAAATACAACTTATCAATATTAAGTCGAAGAATAGAAATTTTGATGAAGTGGGAGTTCTTGGTAAATTGTGGTGCATTTTAGGTTAGTTTCACGGTTATGTTTTTTATTTCAATAAACATGATAGGAATCTTTGACCTTAAAATAAATATTGAGTATTTTTGTTCATAGCTTGGGATTGACGAGATAATGTAAATGAAGAATGGATTACATCATTTCCAAGGATACATTAATTTGTTGGGGTTGGTAGGACTATAGTGCAAGGAAAGGCCTTGGTCTCCGACGGTCCAAATGTAGTTATGATCCACATATTGATCACGAAGCCAACTTCATTACTCTGGCCATAAAATATTACCAAAACAATATGATTAAACATAATAGGCTAAGACACTTCATTTTATTTTTCTTTGGAGATTTCTCACTTTTTATTGAGTACTTAGACAATTACTTCTATGCACCAATTGAAAAGTTGTGAAATTTTATTTTATTTAAAGGCCTTTATTTCTGCCCATCATCTATTTATTGACTCCAATTTCAAAATTATAAATGAGTTTTTATCTATGAATAGAATAATATGAATCCACTGGTTTATCTCAATTTGTATCTAAGAAATGATATGTTAAATGAGTTTTTATCTATGAATAGAATAATATGAATTCACTGGTTTATCTCAATTTGATTAGAATAGAACCTTTAATCTCACAAAAGTGCATTTTTATTCATAAAATTATTATTGGAATTGAATGAAAGTCATATTTACATCATTTCCAATGATACATTGTAACCACCCGAAAATTTTGAAGGTCTCAAGCCACGGATCGTTACTCAAGAATGTCAAAATAAGAAAAATGCGTAAAATTTAAAACATTTAAACACGTGCATGTAATTTGAAATTTAATTAAAGTAGTAATGAAAATTTTGTTTTTTATAAAGAAAAGAGAAAAGACCACTAAGATACAACGTCGTTCGGACAACTAATTAAAATACATGAAAGGCCGGATTTAAAGGTAGGTACAAAGAAACTCAACTCAAATGTGATGGAACTCTCTATAGCCAACAGCCCCCTGTGCCTCCGCCCCCTGTGCCTCCGCCTCGATCGCTACATCAATTTCCACCTGAAAAGAAAGTTGGAGTAGCAGGGTTGAGTATATAAAATATACTCAGTAAGCAGCTTGCTGGTAGTTCATATTTCGTTATTAAGTCTTATTAATCTTGTTCTCACGTTCGGTATCTTATTCTCCCATCGGGATTCATTTTCCTGTATAGGCTTCTTCCTAGGTTACACCCTAAGATTTCTCATTCCACTCTCTTGGTTCACGGTCTTATCTGGACCTCCAACCCTCGGAATATTCTTAGGTTCTCTAGGTCACCTGGTTAGTCGCTTCTGCTAGCCTCTCATCATTGTCATCATATCTCAAGCACTTGAGGCGTGACCTCGATGCTCAGGGTTCATGCATTCTAAGACTCGACCAACTCTCAAGTGTACCACTGTAGACCCCTGCCACTCGTGACAGGTTCACTTAAAGGAAACTAACTAGCAAACTCCCTATAAGTCCCTACAAGGTACCATCAACAATAAAATGGCCAGTTCTATAGTTACGCGGACCCCTGACGATCGAGTCAGGTTTACGATTAGAGGTTAGTTGGTGAACCCCTAATCATCCCCAGATCACCGCTAATATCATATGCATGAACAGTAATCCTCGACCAACTCTAATGTACCAACATGGACCCCTGTCTCTTGTGACAGGTTCACTTAAAGGAAACTAACTGGCAAACTTCCTATAAGTCCCCACAAGGTACCATCAACAGTAAAATGGCCAGTTCTATAGTTACTCGGACCCCTGACAATCGAGTCAGGTTTACGATTAGAGGTTAGTTGGTGAACCCCTAATTGTCCCTGGAGAACCGCTAATATCACATGCATGAACAGTAATCCTCGACCAACTCTAATGTACCAACGTGGACTCCCTATCACTTGTGACAGGTTCACTTAAAGGAAATTAACTGACAAACCTCCTATAAGTCCCCACAAGGTACCATCAACAATCAAATGACCAGTTCTATAGTTACGCGGACGCCTAACAATCGGGTCAGGTTCACGGTTAGGGGTTAGTTGGCGAACCCCTAAACGTCCCCGGATAACCGCTAACTCACAGGCATGAGCAATATCACCTCGACCAACTCTAATGTACCAATGTGGACCCTGTCACTCGTGACAGGTTCACTAATAGGAAATTAACTGGCAAACTTCCCACAAGGTACCCTCAATAATAAAATGGTCAGTTATATAGTTACGCGGACCCCTGACAATCGAGTCAGGTTTACGGTTAGGGGTTAGTTGGCGAACCCCTAATCGTCCCCAGGTAACCGCTAATACTGTAACATGCGTGACAGAGGCATAACTTAATCACCTACTCATGGAAAGCTAGTCATGAATCTCCGTTCATAAGGTGGTTGCATACGCGTTTCAGTAAAGTTTCAGCGAACATGCATAATCACATTCAACATGTATCATCTCAACTCATTCTATGCTTAAACTTCTAAAACATACTTCTTATACCATAATTTCATGCATACTAAGAGCATAGCTAAATCCAAGGTTCCAAGGTGCCACTTACCTGAAAAGCGTGACACTTTTTGTTCCGATTTACGTCTTTAGTCCAAAACTTGCCAAACTCCTCAGATAATTCCTCTGCATTGGTGCAAAAATGGAGAATACAATGAAAACGATGCCAAGATCGGAATTAAAGCGGGTGAGTTAAATCAAAAGGGCCGAACCGACCCAATTGAGTCGGGTCGGGTCGACTGGACCCCGGTTCACGCGCCCGTGGTAGGCAAGGCGGGACGCACGCGCCTGCATTGGCCGAACGCAGGCCCGTGCTGGGCCACGCGAGGCAGACGCCCCCGCAAGACGTGGAACCATCGTTTTCCCTTGACCCTCCTTTCTCTTTCACTCACCTCTGCATGCTTGTCGTCGCCTCATCCTCTGATTCGTTTCCGACACCCACGATCCTCCTCAAATCTCATAGATCGTCCTCCCGCATATACATAACAACTGAAATCGGGTCAATCCCATGAAGCTTAGGGGATGAATCTAACGGTAGAAGCTCTCAAAAACCCATGAACGTACCTTGGCATTCTTCCTTCGTTCGACTTCCCTCCTCGGTTTGTATCCATCCGAAGTCGACCGCCGAACACCCGTGGATCTAAAGCTCAAGTTTCTCCGGCGAGCGTGGGTTGGGTTTCAATCTCCTACCTCCGGTGCCTTCTCCTTTCGACAAACGGCAAGCCCCCTTAAACCTACTCTCACCCCTTCTATTCCGTCTCAGATGAAGGATGGGACTTTCGGAGTGACTGATTGACTGCGCCTGTCATATCCTTCTTTTCTCTCTCTCTTTTTTTTTTTTTCCTAATATTTTGTTTTGTTTTATTTTATTTATTTATTTAGTTATACCTCCTTTGGACTGCTGGGTATTACATACATTAATTTGAAGACCTTAAGAATTTTTAGTGTTACATCAATAAATTTTGATGGTATTGAGAGAATACCTTGGTCTCCACCTGCCCAAGTGCACTTACGATGAATGCATTGATCACTAAACTAGTTCCCTTTATCTGGCCGAAAAAAATCACTGGTAACTTGTCTATATTTACTGCTAAAATGACACAAAAACAATGTAGATCGCCAAAAATTTTCTTTAAAACTCCAGTTGTAATTATCTCCAGTGCGGAGTACATGCTCACCCTAATCATCATCCTTTCACTTGCAATGTAGATCGCCAAATATTTTAAAGTGAAGTTGTTGACGTTGAATATTGTCATCACAAATATAATTATATAGTATATATATATCCTAAATATTGACCTCAAAATATTATTCTAATCCTATATAGATTTGTAGGTAAAATTATAAATTTTTTGATTATATAGAATTTAAACTAAGAAGGTGAGATTTGAGAATGATGATTTTTTTTAGATATTTTTATTTAGCTTAAAGTTTAAGGACCATTCATGCATTAATTTCATGGGTCGTTTTTTTTAGGTCAACTTTATATAAGCCACACTTTCAAAATACAATATTAAAAAGTAACATTTTTGATGTAAAATATTATGGATTTATTTGTCATTTGTGTAACTTACCAAAAAGAGAAAAAAAAAATTAAAATTTTATTTTTATGATTGTTATGATTTTCTACCTAAAAAAAATATGATTTGAACTTTTCTAGATATTTATGTCGAAAAACACATTTTCGAAAAAAAAAAAATGTTGGCCTTTGCATCGATAGAACCTTGTGAGAGAAGAGGTTGTATGCCTAAACAAGAAAAGATCACATATGTTAACGACATGCCGGAAGCATTGTCGTATGTAGCTTTTGTCGACGTCTTATACCTTGCTTCAATGAAGGTCTTTATTGACGCATCTATGAGAACGCTTCGATAGAAAGTGACCTCATATGTTATCATGATTATTACTTAATAATGGATAGAAAGTACTAACTTATTGTTATTAAGTCAAACATGAGAAGTTTTGATGAATGAGAACTCTTTGTAAATTGTGGTGCATTATACGTCAGTATCACTATTACCCTTTTTATTTCAATAAATATTGAAGAGATGAATCTTGAACCATAAATAAATAACAAGTATTTTTATTTACAGCTTAGGATTGACGAGATAATGTAATTGAAGAATGGATTACATCATTTCCGAGGATACATTAAGTTGTTGGTGTTGGTAGGATTATAATGCAAGGAAATGCCTTGGTCTTCCGCTGTCCAAATGCAGTTATGATCAACACATTGATCACTAAGCCAACTTTGTTGCTCTTGCTAGATAACATCACCAGTAGCTTGGCCATGTTTGTTGCTAAAATTGCACCAAAACAATGTTGTTTGAAAAAGATTTTCTTTAAAGCTCTAGTTGTAATTGCCTCCGACATTGATGACATGCTCGCCCAGATCGTTATCTTTCAACTTGCAGTGAACGACCAGAGCTGAATCCGCCATCGAATTCAAAATGGTCACTTGCCAATGGGAAAGTACATGTTGTATCTTGGATGCTGACAGCCTAGTTTGCATCTTGGATGCTGCTAAACATGACTTAATCATATTGTTTGGTTCCAAAGCAATCAATAGGATTAAACAAAATATGCTTAGAGACTTCATTTTCTTCTACAAGATTGCTCACCCTTTTTTAAAAATGTATTTGGATTCTATCTCTTATATATACGTACATATAGCCCAATGGAGGGGGTAGGTAGTTATTTTTTAACCACAATTAGTTTAAAGTGGGTTGTAAATTTTGGTTATTACAGCATATCTTCCATAAGAGAGTGTATAAGTTACTGTCACCTAAACTTTCTTAATTTGGCACCTCCATAACCTTCAAAAACCTTGAAACAATCCGAATATTAATTTTTCACAAAATTTTGAAATTGAAGAAAAATATCAAAGAAATCATATTTAAATTGTAAAGGGTAAAAAGTGAATTGAGAATAATCGTCAATATAAATAACATAGTAAAGAAAACCTGAATTGGGTTTGATGGGGAAGAACCCCAAATATCACAATAAATAAGATCTAACACGTTAGATGACCTACATTCATTGCGGGAATAAAGCAATCAATGACTTTTCTCAAGCTACCAAATAATACAAAATTCTCACCTTGCGGAAGCCTTCGCAAGCTGCCAAGTACTACAAAAGGCTTCAGCAAGGCCGAACGTACCGTTGGTTGCAGCGGTCAGCATAATGGCCCTCCATTCGACATATTTCACAACGAGGTGGTCGACGACCATGACCTGAGTTGGTTTGTCCTCGGTTGGAATAGTTATTTTTGTGGGAATAAGAATGACCTCGCTAGTTGCTAAAGGAAGCATGATGACTTCAATGGGTGCGACCATGATTAATGGCTGTGAATGTCGTAGGAGTGGAGTCAGAAAACTCAAGAGAGCACTGGAACAACTCAAAACTTTAAGCTTTTGAGACTAAATCTGTAAAATAGGGGAGAGGGGTGAGAACCATTTGAGATGTAGAAAAAGTTGAAAAATTGGTCACAAATTCTTTTGAAGGTACGAGCATACTTAGTAACATGTTTTGTGTCACGTTTCATCAGCTGCAAGTCATCGTTGAGTCTCAGTTCACAAGCTTCCAAATGATGGCTGAACATAGTTACCAATGCGAGCCAAACGTCACGTGCAATAGAGAGACCAACGACGATAAAAATGGCTTCCTCGGTGAGAGAAGAGAGTAGGAGACAAAGAATTCGTTGATCGAGTGCTTTTCATGCCAAATATTTTGTGTTAAGTGTTGAGGAGGTTTCTGGTTCAAAGCGAGGTGGTGGAAGCATAGTTCCATCAACATAGCCCAACATGTCTTGACTATCAGGAAAGAGATAAGTTGGCTTTTCGAAAGAAGATAATTGGAGGAAGAAAGTTTGATGGTGATCATATGAATTAGAGTATTGAAAGAAAGAAGATATAAGAGAATTCGGAAGCCAATGAGAAGAAAGGATCAAGGTTGCTAAACCGAAGGGGCTCTGATACCATGAGAATATTTGTTAAAACCACCACACCTAAATGGTGATGAAAGTTTTCTATTTATAATCATTTTCAAAATAGAGAACTACTGTAAATTACAAATGATATGGAATGAACAATAAATGGATACAATATATTTGCCTATAATAAAAGAACAAATATGATACCTACGGTAAGCCGTAATGGAACGCATATATCTAGATATTTACCTAAAATAAACGGCGGATCGAATCGATATGATTTCTTCGGCAAAGTTCTATAGAAAAACAATATCCCTCATGTTTTCATTAATAATTTGTTATAAAAGTATGCAAAAGGAAAAAGAATAATTTTTTTTTTTAAATATTTATCATGCTTTCATCAAAATTTGGAAACAAACGTACATAAAACTAAAAAGACACGTTGAAGCATTCATGCTTAAAATCTAGAAAACTACATTCCGTGTAGCCCTTCCTGCTAAACAACCAAAACATACTAACAATAAGTGCAACTCAACAACCATTGGATAAAGCTTTACAACAAATAAATTGTAAACCAACACTCATTGATATGGTGCAACCATCATTTATACATTGATATTGATCTGATTCTCATAAAGCCTTTGGCCAACAAAAAAACTTATTTACTTGTCTTTTCTTTACCATTGCTAATAGCTAAATAATAGTGGAATCAAATAATTTATACATTGATAAGTTTGTATGGTGTGAATAAACAATTGATTGATAAGTCTGTATGGTGTGAATAAATAATTGCTATCACTAAAGAATTAAGGTCATTCCATGAAAAGATTAGATAATTCCACAAGGGTTTGAAGCTACCATAGTTGGCCTACTTTTCAAGGAAGATATAAAAGTTATAGAGTCACCATATTTGTTAAATGAAATGTGTATATACATACAAACTCTACAATGGCAAATCAGCAAACCAATTCTACATTCAAACACATAAATTTAGTATATTATAACACCGATATTTTAGGAGATGGCGAACTTCTCTTGCTCCCTCTTTGTTCTTGTCCTAGTTCTCTCAAGTACGTATGGTTGTTTAGATGTCTTTAAGTTTTGTGTTGTAAGCCTGGATGGGTATTAAAGCATTTATAACTTTGAAAATTTGTGCAGCTGGTTGGATGGTGCCTCTAGCAACCCACACAAAACAATGTGATGTGAAGATGTTCGAATATGCATGCGACATCACTGGATGTCACCAAAAGTGCCTAGAGGTTTACCCAAATTCAACGTCTCAATGTGTTGAAACTTCTGAATTTCCCACCAACTTCGCTTGCCATTGTTTCTACCGTTGTGAAGAAAAATGAGTTTTGATGTGATGCTCTTCTTTTCCTGGTACTAATCCACGTATTGTAATGCCCTAAATCCACACGTTTCCTAAATAAAATGGTCAGGTGACTTTGCTATTATTCAATTTGTCATTATGGTTGCAAGTGAAAATTGTGTATAAAATAAGATGAAAAGCAACTACCCTAACACCAACTCCACGGTCTTCATGCATCACCTCTGTCATCCCTATAAGGATGTCTTGCTTGTACCTGAAACGTAAAAATAACACATGACTTGAGTACTTTAAGAAATATTCCTTTAGTGACTCTACTATTAGAGTCTAAAATATAAATGTATGCAACATATTTATTATTTTAAAAAGTTATTATATTATTAATAGATATTTTAAATTATTAAATTACTTTTTTTTGTTAAACGAATGCATGTAGTTATCCATATACTATAATAAAAAAA